ATTGTTCCAGAAAAAAAAAATGTATAGCGCTGAGCTGAAACACGTTTCCATTAAAAAGTTGTCCTTCAAATAAGCCAAATAACTTCACAAATTGCTTTAACTTTGGCATCAGATTTTTATATGAATCAGCAGCATTCTTGGTTATAGGGATAATACCTCATTCTTCAGTAATACTTCCTTGGTCTTTTTGTAGCTCCACTCAGTAAAATATGCAAATTTGCCAAAATAACCAACAGATAATTTACCACAGAAAGCTTTAAATTGCATATTAATTGTGCAAATGTCAAAATAAAGGACAAGTGGCTTAGCTTGTATTTAATCAAAGTAAGTAGCATAAACAAATATATCATCAGTGCTTTGTTTTTAATCTTGTACTTTGGCAAACCTTTTAACTGTGATAAGTGAAATTTTCCTTTCATTGGGGAAAGCCAAGTTACTGTTTTGTTTGGTTCTATAGCTGCATTCTTCCAGATTGTAACAGTTAGCTAAAGACAAGAAACTAAAGGATATTTGCCTCTAAGATATTTATTTCTTAGATTTACATGATAATGACCTTGTGCGTGGTTTCTTGTTTTTCCCCGTTTTCTTTGAACATTTTCTTCAAAGCTGCATGAAATTAAAGTACAAAAATTTTGCATGTATATGAAAACCATAAAAGTGAACTAGACTCCACTACATCCTATCTAGAATTGCTGGGGCTCAGAATTCTCCCAGATGTGTGTTTTCAGCTGTCCATTTCACATCGCCAAGACAAAATTAAACAGTGCTTCCTTCTTGCTTCTCCCCTCTTCTCCTAATTCTCTGTTAATGACTCACCTTGATGCCCAGGTAGAAACCTTAACTAGAAATCCCAGCACCTTCCCTGCCTTTCCCATCTAATGAGTTTCTGCATTCTATTAACTTTCCCTTCCAAATTAAAGAGGGGACACCTGATCTGTGTCCCCTCTTTAATTTCCCACTGCCAGGCTATTATCACTTGCCCAAATTTGCCACCTTGCTGGCCTGCTTGTGGTCTGTCTCTCCCCACTTGTAATCCATCCCTCCACTGTCCCACGTTTCCCTGTCTGGTTGGGTATTGACACCTCTAGCAGATTCTCATTGTCCACAGAGCAAGTCCAAACTCCCTCAGCCTACAGTGAGACCTTTGCCATCCAGCTCTGACCTGCTTTCAGCCCTCATTCTCTGCCTGCCCCTCCTGCATTCCACACCTCAGCCTCACTCACCGACCCACGTTTTCTTGCATGAGATTCATGTCTGGGCCCACGTAGTTTCTCCAGCTCACGGTGCTGTGTCCCCAGCGCTCCCTGTAATGACATCCTTATCACTGAGGACCCGTCCCATGTTGACTGTCAGTCACTCTGCCTTCAGCACTTTGCATTGTGAGCCTCTGTTACAGATCTTGTGTTGTAATTAACTGCTCCATGCCTCCCCTGGGCCACTCAGGAGGGAAGGCTTATTTCTTACTCACCTTTCATTTAATGAACTAATTTCCCCTTGACAATAACTCAGCAGCTCCTCTATTACTTCTTGGTTATCATACTGTCTTTTCTTGATATGCGGTGATATTGGCACAGAGACAGTGAGGTTGAAATTTCATCTCTAGGTAGATACCGAACCTAAAGATTTGAAAACAGGGATCCAAATGGACGCTTGTATGCGAATGTTTGTAGCAGCATTATTCACAATGGCCAAAAAGTGGAAACTACCCAAGTGTCCTTCAACCAATGAATAGATAAACACTAATAGTATATGCATCTAAAGGAGTATTATTGAACCATAAAGAAGAATATGATACATGCCTCATAAATATGGTTGAACTTAGAAAATATTACACTAAGTGCCCAGCCACTGTGTCTCAGTGGTTGAGTGTTGACCTATGAACCAGGAGGTCATGATTCAATTCCTTGTCAGGGCACATGTCTAGGTTGTGGGCTTGAACTCCACTGTAGGGCATGCAGGGGGCAGCCAATAGATGACTCTCCTTCATTATTGACTTTTCTATCTCTCTCTCCCTCTCCCTTTCTCTCAGAAGTCAATGAAAAAAAATATATATATATATATATATGTATGTATTTTAAAAGAAAACATTACACTAAATGAAATAAGCCAGACAGAAAGCACAAATATTATGATTCCACGTATATGAACTATCCTGTTTCCCTGAAAATAAGACAGTGTCTTTATATTAATTTTTTCTCCCAGAGTTGCACTAGGTCTTATTTTCAGGGGATGTTTTATCTTTCCATGTGCTAGGTCTTATTTTTGGAGGATGTCTTATTTTCGGGGAAACACGGTATCTAGAATAGTCACATTCATGGAAACAGAAGGTAGGTTAGAGGTTGTCAGAGACTGGGGAGAGAGGAAAATGGGAGTTATTGCTTAATAGGTGTAGCCTTTCTGCTTAGGGTGATGAAAATAATTTAGAAATAGATCAATGTGGTTGCACAACATTGTAAATGTAACTAACACCATTGAATTGTACACTAAAAAATGGTTAAAATGGCCAATTTCATGTTATGTATTTTTTACCTCAATACAATATATATATTTCATGTAATTAAAAACCTACTACCCAACACCCTTATGCACATCCTATATAATAAAACCCTAATATGCAAATCTGACTGAATGGCAAATGATCTGTCACTTTGACACATACTGACCACCAGGAGTCAGACCCTCAAAGCAGGAGCTCCCCCCTGGTGGTCAGTGTGCTCCTACAGGGGGAGCGCTGCTCAGCCAGAAGCCCAGCTCATGGCTGGTGAACATAGCAGCACGGGTCGGACATCCCCCAAGCGCTCCCAGATTGCAAGAGGGCGCAGGCCAAGCTGAGGGACACCCCCTGTCCTGAGTGCAAGAATTTTGTGCACCAGGCCTCTAATATGTTATACGCAAGAATGTTATCTTTCTCTATCATCTTTGTCTATCATTCTTACCTTCGAATATATCTTAACTTCCTTTAAGTCAGAGATCTGACTGTATAGAAAAATATCATTTAAGAAACATAGCTTTGTTTTGGAGTTTGGAGTGTTTGTTTTTGAAATTGCTGAAACTCTCCAGTCGGGGGTTATTTTATTTGAATATTAAAAGACTCAGTCGTGACAAAGTAATATGAAGCTGTTGACTGGGTTTTGGAGTCTTCCAGTGTGTTGTCTGGGCTACTAAGGATTGTGAATATTAACCCTAATACCACTGAAAGGAAAGGCAAATAGTCCAGCAAAGTTTTCCCTTTTGCTATTTTAAACCAGGGATTTGGATGAGGAGGCCAATTATAATCTGTGGCTGGGATTTAGATTGATCATTTTTTCTAAGTCATTTTTAAAAGGAAATACAAATGTAGGGGCTTCCTCAAAGTATATAATGATTTGGCTGTTCTAGGAAGTTCAAATGGGTTTGTCTTTAAGCTTTTACAGAAACTTTAAAAAATAGATAATGATGACAAGCTGATAATACAGTTCATACTAAAATGAGTTTTATGTACATGTAAATATATAAAAACAAAGCTTCTTAATGTCTTTTTGTTTTATTCCTGAATGCCAGGATTTTGTATGAAAATAACAGAGATATTATAGAAATGTGAGGAAATGTTAGACCCCATTTACTATTATTTTGTATACATTTCTGTTGTCTCATTCACTGTCAGTCTTGAATTTTATGTGATGGAGTCCAGCCAGCTGACTGGTAAGGAGCAGTGAATGATATGCTAAGTGCTAAAGAATTTATTGAAAACGAAATGTCCCTTGTTTCACTGTTCCAGAAGAAATCATTAGAAATTACTGTTAATGTTGTCTTCATGACATTCTTTGGGGAAATGATTAGGTCCTTATGGGATAGTTATTTCTAATGGATTTTCCTACCATTTTAAATTTGGACAGTAAGTGGGCTCCAGGGAAGTTCTGTAATTTTAGGATTCACTCAAGTCATCTGGAGATCTTGCTAAAATGCAGGTCCAGTTTAGTGGAAGTGGGTGATGAGGTTGTGCATTTTTTCTTTTTTTTTAATTTATTGATTTTTTACAAAGAGGAAAGGAGAGAGATAGAGAGCTAGAAATGTCGATGAGAGAGAAACATCGACCAGTTGCCTCTTGCACACCCCCTACCGGGGATGTGCCCGCAACCAAGGTACATGCCCTTGACCAGAATCGAACCTGGGACCTTTCAGTCCACAGACCGACGCTAATACCACTGAGCTAAACCGGTTTCGGTGAGGTTGTACATTTCTGATGTGCTCTTAGATGACACCAATGTGGCTGGTCCATGGACCACATTTTGAGCAGCAGCCCTGGGTAGAAAGCTATGTCAAATACCTGATTTTGATGTTCTGTTAACATTGGATGCAACCTCTGGTTGCCAGATAAAACACAAGATACCCATGCAATACTTGACACATAGTTTTTTGAAAAATTACTCATTATTTATCAGAAATTTAATTTTAACTGAACTGGACACAACATATGCATATAAAAATACATACTCTTAAGTCTGGCAACCTGAAATTGCAACCTAACTAATTTATGAAGACACTGAATGTCATACATAACATTAGATTTTAAATATTATGATTCCTTTTATTTAGAGAGAAAGGACACATAGAATTAAGTTTATTTCATGCTTGGTTTTAAAGTACTTAGTCAGATGTTGTATTCATATGCTTTTCAGCATAATAAAATATGCAAGCATCAGTCTGTTCTTCTTCCTCCAATATATAGGGCATTCTTGAAAAATGGTGAAATCTGTATATTCTAAAATATACCTGAAAATGTAGAAATGAACTGGATTATCAGTGTTGTAAAACTGACTACTTGAAGTTATAAGATATGAATATGACAGCTTTAAATGTAGAGGATTTTTATAGTTTTCGGCTTCTGTCTTTTTGAGTTGGTACTGGTACTGTTGATATTTTCAAACCTTGCATAAAAGCATCACATGAGATAATCTGTTATTAAAGCATATGGAAGAAAGTGTAAATGCTTTTCTTTTTGTTTTTTGTTTTTCTTTCAGATTCTTTACAGAGTTGGAAGCAAGACATCAGAATAATATCTTCATAGATGACATAAGTGACATTGTGGAAAAGCACACGGCATCCACATTTGACCCATATGTGAAATACTGTACAAACGAAGTCTACCAACAGCGAACACTGCAGAAATTGTTGTAAGCTATGTTAAAAGTACAGTTTTAATTATCTGGCCTTGTTTTAATAAGTCTCATTGATTGAAATTAATTAATCTCTTAAATCAATTTTGTGTGATGGAGTCCGGCCAGCTAACTGGTAAGGGGCAGTGACTGACATGCTTGATGCTAAAGAACTGATTGAAAACAAAATTTCCCTTGTAACTGTTCCAGAAATCAGCGTTAGAAATTATTGATTTTGCCTTCATTACATTTTTGGGGAAAATGATTAGGCCCTCATGGGACAGTTATTTCAAATAGATGGGCTATATCCCAGGAACAGATGTTTAAGAGTTTTGTTTTCAGGGTGAGTGTGTCCTAGTAGAAAAATCTAGTCTCTGGAGAATTTTCTCTCTAAAGCAATTATGAAATTACTAGAGGCCCAATGCACGAAGATTCGTGCAAGAATGGGCCTTTCTTCCCCTGGCTGCCAGCCTACCTTTGCTTTGGCCTGGAGCTGCCTTTCCACCTTCCCAGGCTGCCCAGAGACCCAGAGCAGCTGGGTCAGTGCAGAATGCCTTAGTCCCACCCTGGCCACTCATCATCTGCATATGCAAATTAACCCACCATCTTTGTTGGGTTAATTTGCATACTCCTGATAGGCTTGTGGGTGTCTCACAGGTCAATTTGCCTCTTTCTCTTTTATTAGTGTAGATAGTTTGTTGTTTTCCTTGTTTTTGTTTTTAATTGTTGTGATGATTATTCCAACGTTTCCCTCCCCTTCTCTAAGACTTTAACTGGCCATTAAGTAGTTTGCCTGAGGCCAAGAGAGAGTTTTTGAGGGGGCTGAATAGTTAGTGCCAGGATCCAGTTTTCTCTAGGACTCTAATCTTCTTCCATTCAAATGACAGCTCTGTTTCTATTAAGTTGTTTGTAGGAACTGCTGATTTCCCCTTTGGGTAACCTGAGAAGCAAAGGTCTGAAAGAAACCATGGGGAGGGAGGGAGTTCTTAAAGACTTGAATTATGAAACAAACAATTAAGCTTTAAACTTCTCTCCACACCTTTCCTCTTTGTCCTACTTGGGTGGCTGTAAGTTTTGGTATGGTAAATTCCATCTCTATCCGTGAGAGAGTCAGTAGTTGTTCAGTAATATCTATATTGTCCTATTTTGGGGGGGCTTGTTTGTCACAAGTAGCTGCATTTGTGCATTGCTGTAGACTCAGCTTGGGGGTTGCTCCCTGTAATCATTCCCCCACTGGGAACTGTGGCATTTTTCGACCTTGGCTTGGGACTGTGGCCAGCTTCTCTGCAGTGTGTGAGACCTATCAAGGGTTGGTGATGAGTCATCACCTCAAGGCTGTGTGGAGAAACAGCCCCTGGCTGGTGAGAAGGGCTGGTCTATCCCTTCCCTCTCTGTGTCCTCATGTAGCTCTTGTATAGGGTGGGAAATCCAGCCGTCAACTCCAGATGAGGTTTTCAGTACAAAGCAGGGTTTGTTGGCACTCCTGACATTTGGGGCTGGATAACTCTTTGTTGTGGGGACTGTCCTGCGTGCTGCCCATGTAGCGTGTTCCACAGGATCCCCTGCCTCTGTCCCTCACCCCAGTGTGGCAAGCCAAATGCCTATAGGCATTACTGAATGCTTCTTGGGGACAAAATCACACCCCTCATTTTTCCTATCACCCCAACCCCTACCCCAACCCCTGCTGATGCAAAGGTTGCTCTGTAACTGTTAGAAAATGCAAGTTACATACCTATTCGAAAACAAAGCCTTAAATTGGAGCTGAATTTCATTTTGTTTTCAATATTTTGCACGATTTAAAAAAAAGGAAATAGAAACTACTGTGCATTATGTAACTCTTTAAGAATTGAGGTTTTTGGCTCAGTGGATAGAGCGTTGGCCCGTGGACTGAAAGGTCCCAGGTGCGATTCTGGTCAAGGGCATGTACCTTGGTTGCAGGCACATCCCCAGTAAGAGGTGTGCAGGAGGCAGCTGATCAATGTTTCTAACTCTATTCCTCCCCCTTCCTCTCTATAAAAAATCAGTAAAATATATCTTTAGAAAGAAAAAAAAATTGAAGTTTTCTTGACATTAGCTTAATGAAACCATCAACTGAGCTTTCACCTTGACACAAGGGCCCGGGTTCATAGAAGCTGTGTACGGTTGGTGTAAGTTTACATTTCGGACAGTGGCATTCACCTTCACCTGCACTTTGGAAGCTCCTGGGAATCTGAGAACAAGCAAAAAACAAAGCCCAGGGTTCATCCCAAACCACCGAGTCAGACTCTGGAGGTGGGGTTGTAACTGGCTATTTAAAGATGCAACTGGGTTGGGGTTTAATTTTTTTTTCCCTTGAACTTTCTAAAAATCTTTCCAAGCGAGTAGAAAGGAAAACTTAAAACTCCTCATTGTGAGAAAATGAAATGAAAACGTTGCTGTGACATTTCTTTTGATTTGCTATTCTGGGTATTTCCTAATTTATTTTTAGCAGACTTGAACCAAATAATCAAATTTTGGGGCCTTGTTTATCACAAGGCCCGAGGATATCCTCAGTGAAGATATTTTTTTATGGATTTTTAGAGAGAGTGGAAGGGAGGGGAGAGACAGAGAGAGAGAAACATTGATGTGAGAGCGACATTTCAATTGGTTGCCTCCCGCACGAGCCCCCGATCAGGGCCCTAAGGATGTAGCCTGCAACCCAGGAATGTGCCCTTCACTGGAATTGAACCTGAGACCCTTCAGTCTGAAGGCTGACGCTCTATCCACTGAGCCAAGCTGGCTAGGGCAAAATATCCCATTTAATAAAAGGCTAATATGCAAATCTACCAAATGATAGAATGACCTGTCACTATGATGCACACTGACCGTAGGGGGCAGACACTCCACACAGGAGCTGCCCCTTGGTGGTCAGTACCCTCAGCCAAAGCCAGGCTCATTGTTGGCAAGCACAGTGGTGATGGTGGGAGCCTCGCCCACCTCTGGCAATGCTAAGGATGTCCGACTGACAGCTTAGACCTGCTCCCCACGCAGGGAGTTGGCCTAAGCCATCAGTCAGATATTATCTGAGGGCTCCCAGACTGTGAGAGGTGCAGGCCAGGTTCAGACCCCCACCTCCCAAAAGCACGAATTTCGTGCACTGGGCCTCTATATTAAGGTGACCAGATTGTCCTGCTTTTGATGGGACAGTCCAGATTTTCAACAATTTTTCCAGCATCCCACGGTGTTTTAAAAAAGTCCTGATTTTTGCAAAGAATCTTTCCATTCTCTCCAGTCTTTCCAAAAATCGGGACTTTTTTTAAAATGCTGTAGGACACAGAAAAAATTGTTGAAAATCGAGACTGTCCCGCCAAAAGCGGGACGATCTGGTCACCTTACTCTATATACACTGAGTGGTCAGATTATTATGATCCCTGAACGCATGATAATCTGGTCACTCAGTGTGTGTGTGTGTGAGTGTGTGTGTGTGTGTGTGTGTGTGTGTGTGTGTGTGTGTGTATTAGAGGCCCGGTGCATGAATTTGTGCATGGGTGGGATCCGGCCAGCCCAGGGGAAGAAGACATAGATGATTGGCTAGCCTGCCTGCTGGTTGAACTCCTGGTCAAGGGGACAATTTGCATATTCATCTTTTATTAAATAGGATATACACTGAGTGACCAGATTATTATGTGTTCAGAGATCATAATAATCTGACCACTCAGTATATATACAGTGTGTATATGATATATATATATATATATATATATATATATATATATATATATATATAATGTTTAAACAGGTCACAATTGTCAACTATGCTGCTTCTTGCCCCTCTCCCCCTTTCCTTGCCCTTCAACGTGGGATTACATTGCAGGACCACCCCTTCCCAGCCCCCTCCTTGCAGTCACAATGGAGCTCCTCACAGCTCCTTCGGGGCTGACGGGAGGTGAGAGATGCAGGGGTGAAGGCACCCACTGAAGGTCAGAAGACCTTGGTTTGACTTCTATCTTTACCAAATACTAGGTCTATTATTTGGCAAATCGGGACCTTTCTGAGGCTCCAATCTTATTGGAATCCCCTCTTGACCTTCCTTAAAAGATATATAGGTGGTTCCCATAATATGGTATATGTCAGTGTATCTTGGTAAATGCCGTGGCAGTATTTTACTGGTTTTGCTGTCACTGGGAGAGAAGAAATACTGCTGACAATAGTCAGTTTTCTGTTTGGAGGTGGGAGACGGACCTCGGGGATTTAAAGATGCAACTGGTTTAGAGTTTGATTTTTTCCGTGAATTTTCTAAAAGATTTTTCAAGCGAGTAGGAAGGAAATCTTAAAACTCCTCATTGTGAGAAAATGAAATTAAAATGTTGTGGTAGTGTTTTACCAGTTTTTGTTGTCAAATTTTATTACAAATCAAAACTAATTTGTAATTGATGCGTTCACCATTCCAATGCCATTGCCTTTTCATTTGTTTACTTTCCACATCTACAAATTTGTAGCTCAGACATTTTCATCTCATTGTTCATACTTTAGACTCATATCTTATATTCAGTCTTGGCTATAAAAGGCAGACAAGCCATCTATGTCTACCTATGTAATTATGTGTTCATGTTCTGTATATTTAAAAATTGTTGGTAATATCTGCAATTATTACAGTTTTCCATACTACCTTTTCTTTATTATTCTTAACTTGAGGAGGCTGTATATTGAAGTTTCTTCTTTCTTCGTTTTCCCTCAGAGCCACCAATCCATCTTTTAAAGAAGTATTGTCACGCATCGAGTCCCACGAAGACTGCAGGAACTTACCCATGATCTCTTTCCTCATTCTCCCTATGCAGAGGGTGACTCGCCTTCCCCTGTTGATGGATGTAAGACATGATTGGGTGGCTCTTTCCCCTGTGGGTAGCCGTAGTGCCATAAATCTAATTAAGGAAATTCTTCTTCTTCCACTTAAATGGATGCATCACCCCTCTATAAAATCCCCTGGTTAAGTGAGAAGGTGCTATTCCGATGAAAAGCCTCACTTTTTGTCTAATATCTTTAGGAATCATCTTCAAGTTAGGTGTGTGTGGTCACTGAAGGATTTAAATGACAGCACGCACTCAACACTTTGTGAAATGGGAAGATGATTGACTTCTTGAAGTCAGGAGTCCTGGATTGGGTTCTGGCTGAACCACGAGGCCTCTGACCTTGGGCAACTCATTTAATCTTTTTGGACCGCCGTTTCCTCAGGAGGCACTCTGACTCATAAACCTAGTGCAGTGAAGTCCTGTGGCTCTGGAGTAAGATCTGGGCACACATTCTGTCTCTGCCACTGGCTAGGTGATCTTAGGCAAATTGCTTAACTTATTCTGAAAATAAGAATAATGAGTACCTGCAGGGTTGGCATGAAAATGGATGAAATAGTAAATGGTAAGTGTGACAATAGACAGTGTTTCTTGACTAAATTAATAATATAGTATACAGGCCTGTGCTGAGTTATATTAATACTAGAGGCCTGGTGCACAACATACGACATTCATGCATGGGGCTGGGGGAGGGCAGTCACTCATCCCAGCCTGCGCCCTCTCGCAGTCTGGGACCCCTCGGGGGATGTCTGCCTGCTGGCATAGGCCCACTCCCTACCTAAGCTGGCAGACGGACATCCCCCAAGGGGTTCACAGATGTGGGAGAGGCTCCCACCACCGCTGCTGTGCTCTCCAGCCATGAACCTGGCTTCTGGCTGAGTGGTGCTTCCCCTTGCCCCCCCTCTTTATCCCCCACCATGGGAGTGCATTGACCACCAGGGAGTGGCTCCTATGTTGAGCATCTGCCCCTTGGTGGTCAGTGCATGTCATAGCAACCAGTCATTCTGCTGTTTGGTCAATTTGCATATAATGGTTTTATTATGTAGGATTATGACTTACTCAAAGATACCTTTAAGGAGCAGCTGCTGTGCTTTCTTCTCTAAGATTTATCAGCAGTAATGAGGCCATTAAAACAGGATTTATACTATGTGATTTCTAAAACTATTTTATGAAACTTTGAGTTGTATAGGGCAGTGTTCGGCAAACTCATTAGTCAACAGAGCCAAATATCAACAGTACAACTATTGAAATTTCTTTTGAGAGCCAAATTTTTTAACTTAAACTTCTTCTTACACCACTTCTTCAAAATAGACTTTCCCAGGCCGTGGTATTTTGTGGAAGAGCCACACTCAAGGCCCAAAGAGGAGCATGTGGCTCGTGAGCCGCAGTTTGCCAACCACGGGTATCCGGAAATATTTCAAATATTACTATTTTAAATAAGAAATGGGTACTTTCTAAATGTCAGTTTTCTTGTATTACAAATTTCCAGGTTTCTTTCTTCTTCTGAAAGTGCATTCTAGCCATGTTTCCTTAGATTCTGTATATACTGTCATCTCTCAGCCTTTCATATTCTGTTTAATTTTGGCAAAATTGCTTGAATAGATTGGGACTCACAAAATCTAACATACCATAATGGGGGTTTAATGACCTTATTGTCCAGTGGGCTCTAATTTTTTTTTTTTTTGAGGTACTGAGTAAAGCTGTAGTCATTCTCCCTAGAAAATTCAGTATGCACCACATTTACATAAAATCAAAGTATGTAGAGACATTATGAATTTAGGGTGCCTCCTCTCAGGGGCATAAGCCAGTATTTTTAAAACTATTTTCATTCCCCTTAGTCTGCCACAAAATTGACTTTTGAAGAATGAGCACTTTTTAAAAGGAAAAATAGAACATACTCTACATGTCATGTACACGGTCCATAATGTGGTTAAGTATTATTTTATTAAAAAACACACACACACAACCTTGTTTCATTTTTGTTTACATGGGTATCTGTCATGGTGTTAAATGTATTTTCTGCAGTGGGTCATAGTCAAAAACATTTGAGAACCATGACTATAAACCCACAGATGGCACTGTCTGTGTTTCTTCTGACACATCATATGTAACAATCCTGACACCCGACCTCAGGTTTGTAGGCCTGGTACTTACTGCCATCGTAGGTACTAATGATTTGCTAGATTTACCTACCTTCTCTCTTCATCTGATTCCCACTGCCCTAATCTCTTCTCCTGTGAGAGAGTCTGGCCACTCAGGCAGAATCTAAATGGACTTCAATTTTACTTCATTTGGAGATGTAAATGTGTTTTGAAATGATTTAAACTTAATTGAGATGAACAGTTTTAACACTCGAAATAGTTTTGTTGGTTTTGAATCGGGTATAGTTTCAAAAGTTATGTGTAATTCAGTTTACCTTGAATTCACTTCCTTTGAGCTCAATTTTACCGTCACAAAAAAATTGCAGTATGAACATATCAAGAGAAAATTTAGCAGCCTTTTTTTCCTTGGTATCTTTATTCAGTCTTGTTCTATACAAAATTAGTTCACTTCTAATGATGATTATGATGATGATGATAATGAAAGCAATTTTATCATTTATTGATGGCCAGACACTCATAAAGCGCTTTACATGTGTAATCATTTAACCCTGGCAGTCACCTGGGACATAGCTGGCATGATTCTGAATTTACAGATGAAGAAGCTAAGGCTTATAGACACAGAGGACTTGCCCTAGATCAAATAGGGAGTAAGGGGGCAGAGTTCAGATTTGAAATTGGGTTCATCCACCTCCGAACTCTATCCTCTTATTTCACCATTTCCTGGATTCACTTGGATTCTGTGTGTGTAGAGACCATTTTGTGGCTTTTGTCATTGGATTTTAATGTCATCGTCATATCCACCCATAATATTGTGACATTTGCTGAGTGAGAGGGTATGTCTGGGCATTGGTTTTATTGTACTTAGTAAAATCAGTCAATTAATTTTTTTTCCTTCTTTTACTTTATTACAGACTATCTGCCAAAAAACTCCTAAGGACTCTCCGAAGTATGAAGTCTGTAAAAGGGCCTTGAAGGAAGTAAGCAAGGTAACTGTTGGGTAGCTCCTCAGACAGTAAAGCCCTCGAATCGCGTGGAAGAGAATGTGTCTGGGTTTGGTGCTGAAAACTGGTAGATTCTCACAGCCATTTGCACAGCATTCTTTAGGGAGCTGAAAAACAAAATGATGTTTGCTACACTCAAGTGAAATGTGTATTTTTACCGTGTCAGACCGTCTTGTTTTAAGGGCCTATAGATGTCTCAGTTTCCTGTGGGGTCTGAATAGCTGTTTATTGATTTCCTCATTAAATAAATATTTATTGCATGTCAACTGCTATGCCGGGCACACCAGCCCTTGAAACCACGGTGATGGTTAGCGGCTTTTTTTAAAGTTACCTCATTGACATAAATTAAGGTGTTGTTTAAAGGGGCCTGTTATCAATAAATATCATATTATGACTAAAGATGCCCCTCGTGGCTCCTATATAGGAAATTACGAGAGTTTTAGATGCTTTGTGCTGGGAACTATGGACAAAGACCAACTATATGTTTCTTATTATAAATCACAATGTCCCAGGCCATCACTAAAGGACTGTGATTCGGTTGTAGATCATTCATAATCTTTAATTACAGTGAATGTCCCTGAGCCTGGCCATTCTTGAAGAGTCACTGACCATCCGGTTTTCCCTAGATGAAGGCTTCCCCTTACTAGTCATATGCTTTGAATTACTAGTCACTCTGCTTGGAATTTGCCTGACCTTGGTAATCTGCCTCCAGCTGCTCTGACTTGACAGTGAGGAGAAAGGTGCAGTGTGCCCTGAGGGTGGGTGAGGGGTTGGGTTGAGGCCAGCAGGAGGGGCAGAGGAAAGGAGCAGAATGCTCAGGGACTGGGGCCTGGGCCTGTGGGAGGAACCTGGGTGTGGAGGGTGTGATGTAATAACTCATCGAGGACATGTGTTCCTAGAAATTTTTAGGAGACTTTCCCCCCTCTGTCTTCACATCCTAGTGACCCCACTTCTCACTGAGGACAGTGTCTTAACTGTGTAAAAGAGAATTCTTCTACCGTCAGAGAGGGGTCCGTGGAGCTTCCCCAGTGCTGATGACTTCCTGCGAGAGAGATCTGCTTTTGAAAGTGGGGTTCCTCTCCTGGACCTCTCAACCCTCCGTATTTTTCTGTGTTCCCAGTTGGTTCGACTGTGCAATGAAGGAGCCCGGAAGATGGAAAGGACAGAAATGATGTACACAATTAACTCCCAGCTGGAATTTAAAATTAAGGTATTTTTGCATTTCTTCATAAACAGATTTATTACTGCTCTTGCTTAAGGCTTCTATAAATATGAAGACAGTTGAGGGCAACAGAAGTGGATAGGATTTTATCTCCCTCTCTCTAATCAATGCAGAAGGACCATGCATTGATTAGAGAGAGGCTGGCAGAGAGAATAGCAGATGCTGAGGGAGATTCTATTCCTTTTATGCCAGATTAAGCGACCTTTCCACAAACCACAGTTAGGTATGATTGAGGAGAACATTCTCCCTGCCCCCTTCCCCCCCAAGGAAGCCAGCAAACTTGGGGAAAGGGTAGTTAAAAATAATAGAATTTACCTAGCTGGTGTGGGTCAGTGGTTGAGCATCAGCCTATGAACCAGGAAGTTATGGTTTGACTTCTGTTCGGGGCATAATGCCTGGGTTGTGGGCTTGATCCTCAGTGGGGAGCATGCAGGAGGCAGCTTGTCCGTGATTCTCTCCCTTGGTTGATCTTTTCTTACTCTCTGAAATGAATAAAAATACTTAAAAAAAAAAAAAAAAAAAAAAGCGAATAGAACTTTAGTATGGAAAGGAGCTTTCTTTTAGGTTCCAGGAGCTGGACCGTGCTGTTCTCCCAAATTCAATAGGGACACTCCTTGTCCAGTTTGCAGAAACAGGTTGTTTGTAGATTGTTCTTTGCAAATTTGTTTTTTCACCATAATTCTTTATGCTGACTTTGTGCTGCTCGCTACTATAATTTTTTAAAATATATTTTTATTGATTTCAGAGAGCAAGGGAGAGGGAGAGAGGATCATTGATCAGCTGCCTCCTACATGTCTCACGCTGGGGATCGAGCCCTTAACCTGGGCATGTGCCTTTACCGGAATTGAACCGTGACCTCATGGTTCAAGGCTTAACCACTGAGCCATGTGGGCTGGGCTGATTTTTGTTTCTTTTTTTTTTATCTTCTTTTTAAAGATGGCAAACCCCTAACTATTTTTATTTTTAAAAATTCCTTCCCTAACCATGTTTCTTTTGCCTTCCTAGCTGAAAATCAATTTATTTAAAATATATTTAAACTTTATTTCTATAGAATGCAAAATTAATATATAATTGAAGAAAGCTTACCCCAGGGGTCTGTAAAAGTAAGTGATTAACACCAATTGAGTTCATGAATTTAACAAGCACCTTATTTGTGGAAGGCAGTAGGAAGAACAAGCTAAAATCTCACAGAAAATTACAGAAATGCAAAGGAGTTAGTAGCAAAGTCTGTACCTGTCACAGTACATGGGAGACAGGAGAATGGTCAGCCCCAGGAGTGCGGGATAGAAGGATGGGGAGCTTGTGTCAGTCAGGTAAGGCTTCCTACTCCAAATCCAAGATGTAACACAACATGAACAATTCCAAGGCACTGAAAAGTCTTTGGACTGTCGAAGACAGGTTGATATTTCCTCAACAAGTTAAACAGAATTACTACATGACTCAGCAATTTCACTCCTAGGTACATACCCAAGAGATCTGAAGACTGTTGTTGAAATAAAAACTTGTACACAAATGGTCATGCTAGCATTTTTCATTATAGCCACAAAAAAAAAGTGGAAACAACCCACATGTCCATCAAAAAAATTGGCGAGGTGATAAACAAACTGTGGTATATTCATACAATGAAATAGTACTCAGCCATAAAAAAGGACAAAGTCCTGATACATGCTACAACATGGACGAACCTTGAAAGCAATCAGACTCCAAAGGTCACATATTATATAATTCCTTTTATATGAAATGCCCAGAATAAGCAACCCATGGAGTTAAAGTAGAATCATGGTTGCCAGCGCCTTGGGGGTAGGACAGAATGGAGAGTGACTCAAGGCATTTGGGGTTTCTTTTTAGGGTGTTGAAAATGTTCTGAATTATATAGTGGTGACCATTGCACAACATTGAGAAGGTACTGAAAGCCACTGGGTTATATGTATACCTTTAAATGGTTAAATGATTAATTTTCTCTCAATCAATAAAAATATATATTTGCTCTTCAGCAGCTCTTTCTTGTCTTGCTGACTTATAAAATTAGTTCAATTTTATATTGAGACTAGTTTTCTAGGATGCCAAATAACACAAAAAAAGGATGTAAAGTCTTTTCTCCCTAGGACTTACATGATTCTCTTTAGGGATATGTTTTTATTCATGAACTTTTTTTCTAGTTTTTTTATTTACACCTGAATTTTAGTCTTAGAGTTTCTGAATTCCAAGAATTCACTTATGGATTCTTTTCTCTTGGGCATTTTCATAATTTCTCCTCCTCTTCAACCTCCTCCTCCTGCTTTTCCTCTTCCTCCTCCTCCTCCTTCTCTTCTTCTTCTTTAAAGAATGAGTTTCATCTTATAATAAATTCTGAAACAAAAAATTTTTTATTATATCGGATTTTTGTTTTCAAAAGAGGCATATATATTGAAAGCCACTGCCTGTTTTAGATATTCCTTTGATAGTTATTTTTGCCTAGTAGAGTATGAGGAACCTTATAAACGTCAATGTATTTCAAAAACAACAAACCAATTTTAAAAACTTTCTTTTTCCAGCTTCTAAACTAAGAACTTAATCATAAAACTATCCTTGGTTCGTGCAACAGCAAGATAGACTGTGTCCCCAGTAATTCCATACCTTCAGCAGGACCAAACCTGACACATATTTCTTTCTTTTTTAAAATATATTTTATTGATTTTTTTACAGAGAGGAAGAGAAAGGGATAGAGAGTTAGAAACATCGATGAGAGAGAATCATTGATCAGCTGCCTCTTGCACACCCCCTACTGGGGATGTCCCCACAACCAAGGTACATGCCCTTGACCAGACTCGAACCCAGGACCCTTCAGCCGCAGGCTGACACTCTATCCACTGAGCCAAACCGGTTTCAGCATGACACACAGTTCTTGGCGGTGACCTCTTGGGTGCAGGTGGGGTTCCCCAGAATGGTCTAAGCTATCTTTGTCTGCCGGCCTTTTAAGCTTCAGCCATTTCTGTTGGATAATCATCTGAGTTGAGATTTGGGTCTGGAAACTCCAAGAACTCCCTTAATGGCAAGTTTGGAAATTTTGAGGTCAGCCATAATGTTTTCTCTTCCTTTTTAAATCTTCTGGAAAACAGTACATAACTGATGAGCAACCTGCTCATAAAGGTCTTTATAAAGTAAAAAAAAAAGAAGAGAAAAGAAAAAAAAAAAAGAAATCCTCTTAGCTTTCTTATTTCTTCTCCAAAATCCTCAATTTCCTTTAGCTATTTTTAATCATTAGTCCCTGAGAAGGACAACATTTGGTTGTACTAAGCTACTATAGTTATGTTTCGTGTGTCTAAGAACTTCTGCTTATTTTATGGATACAATTTTTTTAAATCAATTTTTTTTACAGTAAGCATTTCTGGTAACTTAAAAAAAAGAGCTCTCAAGGGTAAGGATTATCCTGTGGTTTTGAGAGTTTTCCAGTCGGAAACTGGAAACTGAATTTTTTAAAAACTATGTAATTTCTCGTATCCAGCCTTTTCTCTGAGATTAAGATGGATTATTTTGGGAAAACCTCATTTTCCCCAGCCTGGAAAATGGCATGATGCTTTCAGGGATGAACTTCCAGGGGGAAAACAACCATACATTTAAGAACAGGTGTTCTTTAGAATATGGCTAAGTCAGTAATCTGCTGACAAACCATACATTTAAGAGGATTGTTTTTCGGTTTGAATAACGTCTATCAGTTCATAAAGGAATGCAGACTTTTATATTTGGTTCTTGTTGACTACACTTATCTCCATTTTCCTGTATGTTTAGATGATGCTGGTTTGTGATATTTAAAGTAACTGCAATTGATACTTATAGATTTCATTTTGAGGCATTTCAGTGTTAACTGACTCCCTTCTTGATCTTTTTCATCTGAGAGTTAATAGAAGGGCAATATAATCCTTTCTAGTTGACCCAATAACATTTTCTCATTGAGATTTAGTTACATATAGGAAAGTTGTTTTCATATTGGAAAATAAATTGTTGTGGCTCACTTTCTATTGGAGAATTACTATACTTCTCTACTTATTATATTTTGTTATAATCTACATAATAAAAGATAACATGCTAATTGACCTATCTTCGCGACACCTACCAGCCAATCAGGACTGGGCAGGCAAATTAACCCAACAAAGATGGCGGGTTAATTTGCATACACATGTGCCCAGCAGCCAGGGACTAAACAGAACGCAGAAGTTCTGCACCACCCCAGCCACTTATGGCCTCTGGGCAGTGTGGGAAGGCAGAAAGGCTGCTCTGGCCATAGCAAAGATGGTGTCTGCAGCTAGGGGAACGAAGGCCCATTTTTGCATGAATCTTCCTTTGTGTATTGGGCCACTAGTGTGTCTATAAAATAATGCTGCATGCCATACTGTATTTGAATATGTTTCATATTTTAATCTCCATCATCTTAGACGCTCTCTCTCCTTTGGCTTTGGTGCTGAGTTCTTCTCTGTTTGTAGCCTTTCCCTCTAGTCTCCTCTTCCCGGTGGCTGGTGAAGAGAGGTGAATTGACAGCCTATGTGGAAGACACGGTGCTTTTCTCAAAAAGGACGTCCAAACAGCAAGTCTACTTCTTTCTTTTTAACGATGTGCTCATCATCACCAAGAAGAAGAGGTAAGCCTTTGTGTGGCCTGCTGTGTGTCCATGTTCCCAGCTCTGTCATTCAGATGCTTGTTCAAGGAGATTGTCCTTTCAAAGCTTGCAATGGGAGATGTATAGTTTCTGCATATGGAATCAGAGTAGCAATTGTGCTTCCTTTTCTTTAAAGTACCTGTTGAGTTAAGACAGGAGTCTTTTGCAGTATGCAAAGCCACTGTTGTAAGCATTTTATTTACTTTTATCTTTGAGTTCTCATGGTATCCGTGAGGAGTCAACACTCTTATTATTCCCAATGAGCATTTTTCAAATTTCTTCTCCATAGAACCTCTCCTCCGGTTGATAATGAGCTAGTGCAAGTCTAGTGCTCCTTATAACTTAATTTAAAATCCACTTCTCTTAATGGTTGTTAGTCTAAAACGTTTCCCAGTGACTGGGAAGATGCTGGCTAGACTCTCATACTCTGTTCTCAAGGGAATAGAAAGTAAATCATTCTGCTGGCAACATGTTTATGCTTCTGACTTCAGACTTCTGGTTGTGTATTCATATCCTGCTGTGGGTAGATAAACAGAAGGGATTCTATACAAGTCTTTTTTTTTTTTTTTACAGTATTTGTTCTATCTGTCCCCACTACACATACACATACACACACACACACACACACACACTCTCTCTCTCTCTCTCTCTCTCTCTCTCTCTCTCTCTCTCCTTAGCTCTTCCCGCAAAGAATTGGCGGGAACATTCTTTATTAACTATGCTCAGGGTATATAGGATTGTAAAATATTTTCCTGCTGGTCCTTCATAAATATTCCATCGTTCCTAGAATGTGAACTTTAAACACCATAAATTTGTGGTGTGTTCTTTCCACATACTAAGGCAAGCAAGTGGGCAGAATTGCTGGCGTAGAATTGAAATAGGGGTGGTTCATGGGGCACAGTTTAGACAAGGCGAAGAGAATCATGGAAACAGGCCTCTAGGATTATGTAAAATGAATGTTCAAATTTGTCAAAAATATTTATTCAAATCCTACTTCTGAATAGCTGATGTTTTAGCTTAAATATTCTATTATGCTAAGTGAAATTGGCCGTTCAGAGAAAGACGGGTACCATACTCTTTCACTTCTATGTGGAGTCTGATGTACAAAATAAACTGGCAAAGTAGAGACAGACTCAGGGATACAGAGAACAGACTGACAGTTGTCAGACAGAGGAGATGGGGGCTGGGTGAGAGGGGTGAAGGGATTAAGTGAAGAAAGAAAAAAAAAGACTCATGGACACAGACAGCAGTATGATGATTACCAGGGGGAAAATAGGGTGGGGGAGGTGGGAGAGGGTAAGGGGAGATAAAAGGTGGTGAAAGAAGACTGAGGTAATGAACACACAATAGAATGTGTAGATATGTATTACAGAATTATATGCCTGAAACCTATACAATTTTATTCACCAGTGTCACCCCAATAAATTCAATAAAAAAAATAAGATTGGAGAAAAAGAAACAGAGGTTGAGCTTTGCTTTTTGTCCCTTTTAGTCAGACTGTGTTATGAATGATTTCAGCTGCTTGGCAGTCTAGCTGAAATGAAAACTTTGAATGGTCTACCCTAACAAGCCATAATACATCTCTGATAAATATGTAAAGATGCTGATGATTGTTTTTCTTAACTTAGGAAAAGAGTGTTCCCGTATCTGTAAGGAAAAAATGATTTATCTTACCTTGGGGCAGTTTAAATAGCTCTAGTAGCTAAGTAAAGTTTATAAATAAAAGATTGGAGGAACATTATAATTTGTGTTCTTATGTTTTGTTGGTTTCCTATGAGATAGCATGTTTTTTTGGCGTTTGTCGAGAAGTTTTGTTTTTAGGGAAGAGTAATTATATATATGACTCTTCACATGCCAGAACTCCTGACTTTTAACATCTTCCAGCTGTTGAAGTATTTGTTCTGTCTCAAGGGACCAAAAGCTTTACCTATACTTTTTATTTTAATGATGAAGTATATCACACCAATTTTAAATATAATGTAGTCTTGATTATGATGTCTTTGGTGACTTGATGAAACCATTAAGGGTTTATCAGCCAGTAGGGTACAACTTTTATTCTTGAACTTGCATAGAACTGCCCAATAAATACAGGCTTTTGAAAGTTGGAATTAAAGTAGAATCAGTTCTACTTACCATGCTTTTCCCTCCACCAGGAGGTTTTGCCATTACATTTAATGTTGCTTTCCTAGCAAGCCCTCATTTATTTGCTCAGGTATGTTTGAACTTGTGCTGTTATAAAAGGAAGATCAAGACATACAGTTCCAATGGAGAGAGCAACCTGAGCGGCTCACTTTGCCTTTCCCGAAACTGGAATTTCTTTGCCCTTACTATGAGCTCATCATATTTCCAAGGTGCCCTTGACCCAGAGAATGGCATTGGAGGCTCAAGTTGTTTATGCTCTGAATAGGCGGTGAGAGCGACATGGGGAACCGGGGCTCAGTAAACAGGCTCAGTTAAAAATGTGCAGTATGCACAGTCCTATTTGCTCTGCAGCTTCGAGGAGGCAACTGCAAATGCTCCGCATGCCAGAGGCAGCAGCGAAGGAGACAGGACGGCTTTGAACCAGGGGGATGGTTTAGGCTTGGCCACGAGATGCAGATAAGGAGAGCTACCTGTGCCAGCTCTGCTGGACTGAGCCACCTTCTCTGCCTAATTCTAATCCCAGGGTTCAGTCAGGAGCTCAGCTGCTGGGTCATCAGGGGTTTCAGCTTCAGGGAGGCTCCCCAGCTCCCGGCAGAGAGAGCTAGGGAGGAGAGCTACTTACTCTTCCTCCTCCTCCCGGCCTGGCAGATGGTTTATGCTGAGCAGATGGCTGGGGTGTGTGGCCACCTCCGTGGTGCAGAGACCATATTACTGCTAGTGCTTGCAGGGGCTGTCTTCTAGGACAGGAGTTTTGACTGTTTTGTTTTTTTTAATATTAAAAGGAACTTTAAAATGTTTGCTCTGGGCTGTTTGTGAGTCACTACAGGAATAGTCTCTTCCACCGCCTTTCAAAAGGATCAGTTTGTTTTGGATGAGAAAGTGAAACTTTGTTTCAGCAGCTTCCTGCTCTCTCCCCTCTGTGGGTAGCAGCATTTTCCTTCCAGGTGTGACAACCCAGAATATCTGTACATTGTCATATGTTCCTGGTGAGGGGGTCAGGGGGGAGCAGACAGATTGTCTCCGGGTAAGCGCCACTGCCCTAGAGTGATGGCAGACTGTGCACCACTGTTGTCTTCAGTATAATTAGTGAAGGTGTGAAAATCGACCAGACCTGACATAGCAATAATCTTTTTTTTTTAATATCATATATTTTATTAATTTTTTTTTTTTTTTACAGAGAGGAAGAGAGAGGGATAGAGAGTTAGAAACATCAATGAGAGAGAATCATCGATTAGCTGCCTTGTGCACACCCCCTACTAGGGATGTGCCTGCAATCAAGGTACATGCCCTTGACCGGAATCGAACCTGGGACCTTTCATTCCATAGGCTGACACTCTATCCACTGAGCCAATCCATTTTCAGCGCAATGTTTTTTAAAAATATATTCTTACTAATGTCAGAGAGGAGGGGAGAGGGGATGAGAGAGAATTGCCGATCCACTGCTTCTCATATGCACCCCCAACCGGGCCTGTGCCATGAGTCACTCCATGACCTCCTCTTTCATAGGTGGGTGCTCAATCACTGAGCATACCAGCCACGTTGAAATTTCTTTTATTTTTAGAAGTCATATGATTCTTGTATTCTGCTCCATTATATCGATATATCCATTTTTAAGTGAAATTTTAAATAAATGCTTGGCAAAGACATTCTGGAGCTTCATTTATCCCATGGCTTCTTATCTCCTCTAGAGGTTTACCTATAGAAGACAACCAGATTATTAAGACTGTATTTGCAAAACTGTGGCTCTATAGAGCAAGTTTTTTTTGTTTTGTTTTGTTTTTTATATTTCACTGATTTTTTACAGAGAGGAAGAGAGAGGGTTAGGGAGTTAGAAACATCGACAAGAGAGAGAATCATTGATCAGCTGCCTCTTGCACGCCCCCCACTGGGGATGTGCCCGCAACCAAGGTACATGCCCTTGACCAGAATCGAACCTGGGACCTTTCAGTCCTCAGGCCAACGCTCTATCCACTGAGCCAAACCGGTTTCGGCTAGAGCAAATTTTTGTTGTTGTTGTTTGTTTGCTTTATTTTGTACGACGGTAATATACAAAATATTTGTACACTTAATATTTTGAGCTGCAAGTAAAAGTATACTCACACTAAAGAGTGAAGCCATAAAAATGTTGAACTATCACATGCACACACATACGCACACAAAGTAATAAGCTGGGTGAGTTTGGAAAACATTCTTCTTTGGGAGATTCACTATTAGACCCCTTAGAGAGCTTTTGGCTGCCTGTAACAAAATCCCCAAACAACAGCGGCTCGGACATGAAGACTGAGGGCGGTCGGTCCGGGCCCGGTGGTCACTTCTAACCCAGTCCCTTTCCTCTTCTTCAGCTGCTCTGTGCTCTGTTCACTGTCCTCACGGTTGGTCCTGCAGGCATCACGGTTTCATTCAGCCATAGAAGGGAGGCTCCAGGGAAAATCAGGCTGAGCCACGGCTCTTTGCACAGGTGGCTTTTCTTATATCCCAGCAGAGGAGAACCTTTCCCAGATGGTCCCCAGAAGACTGTGCAAATCACATGGGTTAGTCTTGGGTCAGATGACTCGTTACAAGGGAGGCTAGGAAAGCCAGCACAGGGTCAAGGGGAGCAGGAGAACCAGGGCTGTTTTGGTGCAGCTCCTGGGGCTGGCCCCCTGGGATTTGATAGACAAGATGCAGGGAAGGCTGGCAGCTGATTAGATCACAGATCCAGCCACAGCTAGGAGAAGCTGTTCTCCACAGAACACCAGTTACATTTGAGTCGTTGAGGACATGGGAGGCTATTTGAGAGAACCAGCGCCGTGCCTTTAGGATGGATGGGGCTGGGGTGTATTGATTTCCAAGGAGACAGA